CTTGATCAGGCTTGCCAGCGTGGTGTCGTGGACCCTCCGGCCTACGAATTTTGTAGGAAGGAGACGCGGCGGAGAAGATTCTGTCGAAGAGCTAGGGTTTTCAGATGATATTTTTACTTTTTTAAACCTAAATAAATGATGTGGCATCCAAGTTTGAGCCACCTTAGCATTTGATGTTGAGTCATAGACGAGATAAATTTTTACTGTCATTGTTAACGATCAACATAAAATTCGGTCCAAATCTATCCATTAATTTGAAAAGTTGGCTATAATTGTCTTATTGGAAAATTCTCGCCAAACTGTCATTTGTGTCAAATTTCGGGTCAAAATAGGGTATTAACCCTATTTTAAAAATATACAATAAAATTTTTAAATGAGTAATTGTCATATCATGATGTTATGATAGTGATAGTATTACAACTAACACGTGTTTTGAAGATTGAACTTTTATTTTCTCAAATATAGCAAAATGGATATAATTATGTAAATTATAATTAATGCAATTTTTATGCATACTTTTTCAATTTCAAGTTTAAACAAATGATATAAGATTCCACTAAGAATAATAGGGGGATTACATAAAGAATGCTTTGACTTGTTCACAGTGTTTTCTCTCTCTTCTGAAAGTTTGAACTTGATGGGCCTCACTCCCGTACCATATTATACTAGCAACCCTCGAAAAAGTTCAGGATGCCACTTACATCATCAATCGATGTTGGCGATTTTATCCGATCTTAGTAAAAATCCTATTGCAAGAAGGAGAAGGTGGTTGTCAGTAGGGGTGGAAGTTTGGTTTGCGGATTGCGGGTAATCCGCAAACCGCAACAAATTGCATACATCGTGGGTAACCATACCCACAATTTGTGATAGTGGGTTGGGTGTGAGAAGCAAAATATTAATTTTTGTGGTTAGTGGTTAACCACAATCCACAACGGTTAACCCACAAAATCCACAATAACCACACTAAGTATATTTATTTATTAATAATACTTATAATATTAAAGTATGTGAAAAGTAGAATGCTACAAATTAAAGTAGGCTCCAAAATCAAATATAAACTTATTTTATAAAACAAAACCAAGTCAATACACTGTGTTCGTATGAGATAATTTTATTAAATAAACATTGCCCGCGTGGTATATGTTTATTTTATAACAAAACACAGCCAATAAATGTAGTTTATAGTTTATTTTAACGCTTTATTAACTTTCTTTTATTTAGGTTTTTGTTTTTGTGTAAGAAGACGCTAATTCCGCAACTCGGTAGAGAATTCCATTTATCCTTAAAAAATTCATATAAAAAAGCAAAGGAGTCATGCTGAATTCCATTTATCCCTAAAAAATTCGAATAAAAAACCAAAGGAGTCATGCCGCTGATAAAGGTTCTATGTATTTTTAGATTAGATCCCCTCCAACCCATACTCCTTAGCAATCTGCATTTCCTAAAGAAAGTGACGTGACTTGTAAGCTAGTGAAGTGAACCGAGGAAAGGGAGTTTGACTACTTAGGAGGTTCCGAAATCGGATCCTCGTTCGTTCCATGTCTTGGGCTTCTTTACTTAGTTTTAACTCAATGTGTGTTTTTTTCTGTCACTCGACCAATATGGTTATCATATACAAGTCCAAAGGGTGAAGGAACGGAATTTTTGTGGATATCCACATCCAACCGCACCAACCTGCAGTGGGTAGCATAATTCTTTATTTTTGGGTGTGGTTACCCACGAAATGTGGGGCGGGTAACCACATCCACCCCAATTTCCACCCCTAGTTGTCAGTGGAAAAAAAAAAAACAACAACAACGTCAAAATAGAGGGTCATGAATTATCAGTTTGTTCCTCTTTGTTTTTTAGTGGAAAGCACCGAGGAGTAGATGGAAGCGGCAAAGAAAATGGGTTGGGCCTCCGGGACACTTCAATACTCGCGTGGACCAAGTCTTGGGTCGAGCAAGATGGTAGCAGCTCGAATGGGAGATTTGATTGGTGGGCTGTTGTACGGGGTCAGTTCGAAGCATGTTGAACTACCACTGCTGATGAGTTCTATTACGACACATTCGAACTCGGCAATGGCCAACGATCGGGACCCTTTTTGTATCATTATTCCGGTGAAGAAGCTGTTGCCTCGGCCACACAGACCATGTTTGGGAAACCAAATTTGCTTGCACTCCTACGAGACAAGGCTGAATGAATGCGTGAAGGAGTTCATTTCATTTCATGCATGGGAAGAAAGAAGAAGTGTGAGCTAGTGAAGTTGGGTACCCGAGCGCAATTACAAGTTTCGCAAGCACCGCCATCGCGGACTTATTATCATCAATAACACGTCGGCAACCTCCTACCATACCGATCCAGGCTGAAACTGGGTTGAATTAGTTCGTTGATTAGCTCGAACCTTGGGGGACAAGGTTCTTTGAAGGGGGAGGATTGTTATGTGTATTCTTCTTCCTTATTAATTATTGCCATTGTCATTGTTAGGTTGGGATTGGGTTAGTACTAATAAGGAATCTTCTTAATTTTGTATTATTTATAATTACTATACTTAGTTGCGTTAGTGCTAGAGTTAGTGGTTAGGTGGTTCCCTTTTGTAGCTATGTTTCTGTTCAAGAGTTGGTATTTAAACCACTCTCTTAATCAATACAAATCACATCTTCAATCACTTACATGGTATCAGAGCATATGCTCCGATCTCCTTAACCTACACGTTTTCCTCTGCGTTCCTCTTCCTTCACTTTCAATCCTTTTCTTTCTTAACCTAGCCCCTCTTGTATACTCCTCTCCCTTCACCAATATGCACCATGTCAACAAGTACTGGGGAATCTGTTCTCAACCTGGATGAACCAAACACCATAATCACATTGAATCCTGCATATCAACTCCCCACCAAGCTCACCGGTGACAACTTCCAAACTTGGCGGGCGCAACTCATGACGCTTCTCTGCGGTCTGGACCTTCTCAAATTCTTAGACGGCTCTCATCCACAGCCCGCTCCCACTGCTCCTGCAGCTGAATGCACCCGCGGGTACAGGTAGGATCAACTTCTCCTCCATGCTATTCTTGCATCCATGTCGCCGGCTGTCTCTCCCTATGTCTCTGCCACCCGCTCTTCTCATGAAGCCTGGTTGACTCTCGAAAGGATGTTTTCCAGCCAGTCTCGACAATGGTTCATCAATCTCAAGACCAAGCTTACTCGTGAGACTCAAGGCAATCGCCCGGTTTATGTTTACCTTCAAGCGATGCGCACCATTGCTGTCGAATTGGCTCTTGCCAATGCTCCTGTTGCACCCGAAGACATGATCCTTCATGTCCTTCGTGGCCTTCGCGAGGAATACGGCCAGCTCTCTGCTGTGGTTCCGGTTCGTGCCCGTGACACTACCATAGCCCTCGAAGATCTTCACGATCGCCTGGTCGATTTTGAAGCTAATCTCGCTGCTGTCCGCGAGCCTCACTCCTTGGCCTTTCCCACAACGGCCTTTTCCTCTACTCGTGGTCAGCCCCCAGCGATGTATCGCCACTCTGGCAGCCCTCATCGCAACCAAGGCAGCCCTCGTCGTCATCCCGGTACTGCTTATTATGGCTATGACAATCCCTCTCGGCGTGGCTCCAGCCCTCGTGCTCTTCCTCGTGGGCAGACTCCTTCCCGGCAGCCCTCTTATTATCCAAGTACAGGCTCCGCCCCATCCCTTCTCGGCCATCCTCAGGTTCTATGTCAGTACTGCGACAAGCCCGGGCACTCAGCTAAGGACTGCTATCATATATGTGGTCCTCCGCAAGCACATTACACCACTACCGACTCCTCCTCTGCTGGTTGGCTTGTCGACTCAGCCGCTTTCAATCACATGACCCCTGATATTGGCAATCTCTCTTTGTATACCACCTACGACGGCCCTGATGAAGTTCTTTTCTGATTGCTTTGTTGTGAAGGATCTAGCCACGGGGGCGCATCTACTAAGAGGCCGGAATAAGGGGGATGTCTCATGTCTATGAGCTGCCAGCCCCAACCCAACATGTTCGACTTTCCCTGACTGCCATCAAGAAGCAATCGTCTGGTTTCCGGGATTGGGTCCGTCCTGATCACATTTGCTGCCTCTCTCGGCCGATATATGGCCTCCGTCAACCCCCACGCTCGTGGTATGTGGAGTTATCCAGTTTTCTTGAGCAGGAGGGCTTTGTCAAGTCCAAGTCCGACGCATCACTCTTCATTTATCACAAGGGCTCTGTCATGTTATATTTCCTTGTCTAAGTTGATGATCTATTATTGACAGGAAATCATGCACCGACTCTCTCCTGCTTCCAGGAGCACCTCGTTGCCCGTTTCTCCCTAAAGAGTCCGACATCGGCTACTTTCTTGGTATCGAGGTTCTACCATCCCCCAGTGGCTATCTTCTCTCTCCATGGAAATTATGTGGTTCCAAAACCTTCTTCAAGAGCTTAATCAACCACTGTCCGCCCCTCCGACTCTCTACTGTAACAACCTTGGTGCTGTTAATTTCTCCGCCAACCCGATTCATCACTCTCGCATGATGCATCTTGCTCTTGATTACCTCTTTGTTCGCGAGCTTGTTCAATCCAAGTCACTCCTAGTTCGCCACATTCCCACGGTTCATCAGCTCGCCAATTCACCACCAAGCCTCTACCCATCACGCGATTTCTTCTTCTACGATCCAAGATTGGTGTCGTTCCCTCCACCATCTTGTGGGGGCGTGATAAGGAATCTTCCAAATTTTGTATTTTTTGTAATTACTATACTTAGTTGCGTTAGTGCTAGAGTTAGTGGCTAGGTGGTTCCCCTTTTGTATCTATGTTTCTATTCAAGAGTTGGTATTTAAACCACTCTCTCCTAATCAATACAAATCACCTCTTCAATCACTTACATGTACGTGGGTTAATTGTACGGTAGAATTAGGAGTCTTTGGAGTGTTGGCCAAGTAGGAATAGTCGAATTGCTTTAGGAGTTGGGTTAGGGTTTAAGCCCTATATACTTATGTTCTACGTTCTATTCAATCTATGAACAAGAATATTTCAATTTATCTTTTAGTATTTTAAGAATAGTTATAACGTAGTTTAGGATAGATCTCGCCATCAAGAACATCCTCTACTCGAGAGCATCATGAAACATATTGAAAGTTCGCGTAGGTTTCAACTAGGAAATCTGCTTCGCATTATGAATCATGCCTGTCACTGCACTTCGGTTTACTTTATTTGCTTTGAATATGAGCTGTTAAGGCATTACCAAAGAGATAATCAAAATGATGTAAAAAAAACATCTAAATAATATTCTGCCCAAAACCTCTTGATTCTTCCTACACAGCTCAAGCCTCAAGGCATGACAGATATCATCATCCTAGGCTCCTAGCAAAGGCTTTTACAAAACATGCACTATTCAAAATGAGTAACAGGGCCCATAGATACAGAGATTGACTGAGAGTGTTTGCACCCGCTACTGGTTCTCTTCAAGGTTAGTATGTGAACCAGTGCTACCACCATTTTTGCAGCCAGTTCACCCATGCCTACTTCATCTTGACAAGTTAGAAAGAAACCCACTTGAGATTGTCACTGGCTCGTGGGGTTGTACTCTCCATCCGTTTTCGGTTTCTTGTGGTTATTCTTCCTCCTTTTACTCTTGGACTTTCCTTTCGAGGGGAAGTAACCAAGCTGCTTTAAATACCAGATAGCTCCTGAAGTCGCATGCTCCGTTGCCGCTTTCTTTTTGGGCATGGGATTACTAAAACACTCCAAGAACGTAGTGGATGCTGCTTCTTCAACCGGGATCTCGACTATAACCTTACAGGTAAACCTACGAGGAAAGTAAGCAGGTCATTAGTCATGTCACAATCTTGATTGCATCTCATTTTAGCATACTGTAGTCTACTTACCGTATCATTTGGGAAGGATCTTGCTCCAAGGAGTATTCATATTCAGGGAGCTTCCACTTGTTTGCGGAACAAACTTTATGCAGCACACCTTTAGATGATATCACTTTTGCCTCACCTAGGAGGAGAATATATACATGAATCACAAAGACTAATCTTAAGGTCGTAACCATTAAAGTTCGCTACATGTATTGTGGCAGGTATATGACATGTCAAGAGTTACATGCAGACAAACAACACGAGATCGATCTCACCGAATATCAGAGCGGAGTTGATACAGATGAATCCGACTCTATTTTTAAAAACATCAAGTCAATACTTTGTCTTTGTAGAAGCTAAGTGCTGCAGGAGGATACCATTACAGGCGCTCAGAATCTGTGAAGAACTTTCTTTCTCGGATATTCCAGGGCCCAGAACTTCCAATTCTGAGGTAGCGAAAAGACAGGAGGATTACATAACCCATCTTGTGGCGTGGAAGAGCAGATAGAGCAAGAGAAAAGTTTTCCTTTTTACCATAAACATCGTCTTATCAGGCTACCATTACTGAAGCCAAATACAACCTTAACAAGCATTTCCATGAACATTCATGGAAACGCAGTCAACCAATCTTGTTAGGATAACAAATATGACAGACCACATTTAATAAGGCATCATCTTTAGGTTGATTTCAATGAACCCTGGACAGGTTGTAAGCCAACCGGCAACTTTAGTGATGAGAGACGCACATATCAGAGCTATGGAGCTGAAACATTTTCTTATCAGCCTGAGAAATAATCATCCTAACTCGAATCGGCCAATTCAACTGAATCTAAAGCCTTCTCTTGAAACGTGATAGTCATATTTCACTATCCCAAACCTTAATCATCTATCTGTTAACCATGAACCCTAATAACCAGCAGAAGCCGCCAACCGTTGACGCAGCGAATTTTTAAACATAGAAGGGAAATGAAAGCAACCCCACATGAAGAATCAATCTAAAAATACTATTTCCATTCAAATTAACCTGGGGGATCGTGTGCCGGTGCAGTAGCTTCAGCGCCACCAGCACTCTCGGCCATAACTGCGTCCTGGGTCTTGACTGAGTTGCTGCTTATGTACTCATGCGTATCCTGCTTTGCGTGGGCGAGCAGACCCGTTTCGGTATTCGCTTCATCGTCCAACTTGTTCAATTCAGTGAGATTCAGATTCATCGTCATTTGGGGAAAATGTTCCATTCATCGGCTGATAAACAACACGCATAAGGAACAGTGAAATCGGCCGAACTATGTTGAGAACAAAGAAGGGAGAGTGGTAGGGGGCATAACATGACGGAGAAAGGGGAGAAATACAGAGTGACGGGCTTACGGTTTACCTGAGCCACAGTTCAACCATGAATCTACATCTACACAATAAATAAAAGCCAAATGAAAAAACATGAAGCACCATATGAAATTTCCTGCATCCAGAGTGAAACTAGGAAGAACATTTTGGTCTTCACAATTACTTTTTTATTATTCATTAAAAAGACACTTACTAGGATCCATGGCCATTTAAAAAAAAACAACGATCATAAACAATCACACTAAGTACAATGGTTGTATTTTTTTAAATTAAAAACATATAATCGCAGAGAGAAGAAAAAAACCCTTCCCCCATTTCAAATTCTCTGCTCCATGATCGTTTGTAGGAAGAGTAGAATAGGGAGTGTCAATTTTTTCTTTTTCCTCTATGGAACGGGCCAACTTACCGTACACATGCGGATTTAAACGGGTCCAGGAGTGTCAATTTTTTTCTTTAAGTCCTTTTATTTCTCCGTGGTGGTAAAATATATCTGAAAAGGAAAAACCAATACTCCTTTTTATTGCTAAAAAGAAAAAAAATTTAACAATAAACTAATGCATGGATTCTAATGGGATAACCGTTAATCATAAAATAAAAGAGTTGAATGGGCCTGACCTATACGGGATTTGCCCGTCAAATTAAACAAATGAACATCATGGGTTTGTCATTCTAAAACAAGCTATTTTCTCTAGCATAATATATATTATGCTATTATTTTATATCTTAGTGACTAAAATATAATGTATTTTAAAGTTATTTAATGGTTCAACCTCGACCAATCCAATTAGTCCAATTTTTATCATTTCAAATATATATTATGTAATTATTTGATATCATAATGATTAAATTATAGTGTATATTATAGGGAATCATTTGGTATTTGTTAGTAAAAAAACTAAACAGAAAGATCTATTTGGTTATTTTTAACATTAAAATGATCCTAAACATTTTCAGTTTCCTTTCGAAATTCTATAGTTTATTCCCGAATCAGTGATGTGCAAATGACGAATTGCAGTCATCTCTTTTCTTTCATTATTTTTTATTTTCAAATAGAAAGTTTAAAAGTAAAGAATAATTAGAGTTTGGCATGAGTCGGTCAAACAAGTTGAATTTCAAGTTTTGGCCCGTTTTGATCAAGTCTAATTTATAATCACATGGTTCCCTCATACCCGATAAAAATCTCAATCCAAACCAGTTTGGCAGGTGAGTTCTTGTTTACCACCATTTTATAAGGATACAGGAACGGTGGTTCCTATCCCAAATCGTGTTGTTCATTCTTGATTTCTTTAGATTTTATTATGGTTTGGCAAAAAACCAGAAAGCACAATGATGACAAGATGAAAGTTTTATAAAGCAAATTAATCGGCCAACGGGCCGAGTAAAAGCTAGCAACGATTGTGAGATGCTCATTTCCCGAAAACCGGCGGGATAGGCTATTTTTTATTTGAATTTCTGGAATTCGGTTTCTATAAAACTTACTCCACCTCATCATATTACCAGAAACAATATTGTTTCACAACGTAACAAGTACTTGATTTTGATTATAAGATTGATTTTTGATTCGTTGCATCATTCATGTCTCTTTCCTACTAAAATTCACTATTTTTATCACGTGTTTCCAAAAAAAAAAACTATACAACAATAAACTATAAACCGCATTACATTATCAAATTTCATACCTCACCTTTCTCCGGCCAAATGACCAGGCCCACGCTAGTCTAATCTGTAAAATGGATTGTTTGATCACATACTCACAGTACGGCAAAGCTTGGAACCGAGCACTGGCAATTGATATTGTTTATCAGATGGTTCAACGGTCGGATTTAGGCGACACAGATGCGGAAGAAGCCCGAAAGCCGCAGCAGCCAGCAGGTGAGGTAATGCTGACCTCCATTTAATTGCTCTTTTACCCATGCTTTGATCAAATTTCTAGTAGTTTATACTTTTAATTGAAAGGCTAATGGGCTTTTTACAAAAAAAAAATATGATTGTTTTTAAAGAAAATTCTTCAAAATATTGCTATTTAGAAATTAGAAAGCAACTAGGATAATATCACTACAAAATCTTAACTATTCAAAAAATTCTAATTTCAGTACTAAACTATTTAATATGATAATCCTAACACAAACAATTTTTCTATTAGTGTTCACCATTGTTGACCGTTAGTATTTAATAGAAAATCCTGTCAGCATCGATTGGGATGGGTATATGTGAGATTTTTTATATTATAATTGAAAGTAAATATTTTATTTTAATTGATTTTTTATTTAAAAATATAATATCGTCGAGCTCTCTAAAATACTCCTCCACGTTCCTTGAACCTTGTCGAATCCCATGCAGAGACTCGTAGAGCTCACGCTGGTAGTAAGCAGGTATGAATCGGTCTCGTATGATTCCGCGCAGCTCGTCCCACGTTGTTACCGGATTTTGATTATTTCTTCATCGACAAAGCTGTAGCTGCTCCCACCACTGTGCAGCGTAGTCTGAAAATTCATAAGTAGCCATTACTACTTTCTGGGCCTCACTGAATTGGCCACACTGAAAGAAAATGATGATTTTTCTTTCACAGAAGAGGTACGATGAAGGGTTCATCGCTCCTGAAATGACGGCACGACAAGTTTGATTCCCGGCGGCACTGCCGCCTCCACTTCCTGATGTCGTTCACGCCGATCGCGATTAGGGCTGTTAATAAGCCGAGTCGAGCCGAGCTTTGCCATAGTTCGGGCTCGGCTCGTTAATATATTTCCAGGCTCGAGCTCGGCTCGTGTTCGTCACGAGCTTTAATATGCAAGCTCGAGCTCGGCTCGTTTATGAAAATGAAAGCTCGAGCTCGGCTCGTCAAATAAGCTTAACGAGCTCAAAATCGAGTTCAGCTCATAAAATGTTCATGATAGCTCAAGATTGACCTAGAACTACGCACAAAATTACATTTAAATCTGTAGCAAAGTAAAACACAATATTTATCCCAATTTCAATACATAAAATCCATGAATTCTAATTATTTTTATGCCAAACCATTAAATGAGCTTGTTCGCGAGCTTTCGAGCTGAACATGGTATGGCTCGAGTTCGGCTCGTTTAGTTAACGAGCTTGTTCGCGAGCCGGCTCGATTAAAACGAATCGAGTATCAAACGAGTTTTTCTCGAATCACACACCGAGCCGTTCATGAGCGGCTTGGTTCATTAACAGCCCTAATCGCGATGCTCATAGAAAGATTGTTGGCCTTAGAATTGTTTTCCTTTTTGGCTTATTTCAGAGCAAATATTGCTTCGTGCAAATCTGGGATCCCAAAAGAATCTCCTTGTGGGAACTGTTTACAAAGCTCCCTTCATGTGTCGGCTGCATTGATGATGCATAGCAAGCTATAAAAAATTATTGAGGTTACTAATTGGTGTATCCAATCGAGTAGCAACTTGTTGTTGCGATCCCAGACAACAAAGTGTACAGAATAAACGAAAGGCTTGGGGATTCTTCCTTGTAGAAAAACTAGCTTGTTCTTGCCATCAATAACCAATGTCATAGAACACTCTCATGCAACATAGTTCCCTTTATTTTGAACTTGCGAGACTAAGCACTAGCACCAATTCTCTTAGGGATGGATGAAGAACGGGCTGGATGGATCAGAAAGTCCAGAAAAGTGACTTGGTTTATTGTGACGGCCATTAGAGTCATTTGATGAAGGTCGACGAGCATGAGGACTATCTTCGGAACCCACTATGGCATTGTTGTATATAGCTCATCTAGTCTGAGGAATATCAAATTTCGGCATAGTAGAGCAGGATTAGAGTAGAGTAGAGGATGAAGCACAAGAAAAAATGGAGAAATTGAGCTAGATTTGCTTTGATCAGCCCGGTTCAAGCCCTGTACCGGTCTAACCCACGGCACAAGGACTCAAAATTTTTGGGACCTGATTTGGCCCATACACTAGTACATATATATTTAAGAAAAATAAATCTGCACATATACCAGTACATATATATTTGGAGGGGCCGGCTAATTGGAATGGGTTGGAAAGTTGAAACCCTCTTTTTCTTGACCCTTTTTTGTTTATTTTTTACCTTTTATTTTGGGCTAGTGTGTGGCATTCTAATCAATTTTTGGTTTTTTTCCCAGGGATTTTACTTGGATTAGTGAATTTAATATATTTTATTTTTAATAAAATTTGTGGAGAAATTTTTTTAGATTTTAGGGCCACATTTTAATTTTCGAACAGGGTCTCCGAATATAATGTTGAAACATACAAACAGTTGAATTCACAAAGAGAATTAGGATTGGGAAAGAAAAGAAGAGCACTTCTACTATGCTATATAGTATTGGTGTTTTAATGTACAACTTAAAGTTGTACAATAACATTAAATGTATAAGTTTAAGTTGTACCATAAAGCAATTTGTACCATTATGTTATGGTACAACTTTACAACTTGAAGTTGTACCATCACATAAAGGTACAAGTTCAAGTTGTAGCATAAAAAAAATTTGTACAAAAAGTATAGGTACAATCTGAAGTTGTACCATAACGTAAATGTACAGTTTTAAGTTGTATCAAAAAGGCCAAACCCTATAGCACCAATACTATATAACATTGTAAAATTTCTCGGCACTTGTCATGTGTCTTTAACTAAATGATTATGTAAATTACAAACGCATACTCCTAATTTGCTAACTTATCATCACCGTCTTTAGTCTTCTGTAACCTTTACGCTTTAGTCCAATTGATGATCATAATCAATATATACTTGATTGATGACCGAGAAATCTGGCTTGAATATTTAACAGTGATTACTTAATTAAAATGGATAGCAACATATATAATACCAAGCTAAGTAGCTGGAAACTTGCTTGCTAGCGGGCGTCATGATCATGAAGTGTGGAGCCAAATAAATGCATGGTCCTAAAAGCAGGAGAGATGAAGCAAATGGCTAAATTACACGTTTGGTCACTCAAATTACATTTATGTTTCACGTTTGCCACTCAAATTACTTTTCTTTCTTATTCGCCACTAACTTTATAAATCGTTTCACCGTTAGTCACCTGCCGTTACACTCCGTTAGGTTTGTCCTATGTGGCAGTCAACAGTAAAGTTTGACCGTTAACCAGATGACATGGAAATTAGAAAAAAAAATAAAAAATAAAACAATTTTCCACATCATCATTCCCATTTACTTTATCTATATTAATAATTCAATAAAAGTTAATTAAACTACAAAAATTATGTGTTCATCCTCCGGAACGTTGCAGAATTTCGAACACCCCTAGAGAATCTAAAGCTCTTGAACCTCAGCTTCAACTACTTCAATGGCGAGATCCCTCCCTCGTTCCAGCGATTCCCGCTCCATTCCTACTGCGGCAACGCCTTGCTCTGCGGCCAGATGCTCAAGCGCTGCTCGACGGCGGATTCCGCACCGCCTCTTCCACATCCCCCTTCGTATCAGCTCCCAACCTCCAATTCCACTAGGAAGAGGAAGCTGAGCAGGAATTTCATCATCACGGTATCAATTGCAGGGACGGCGATTCTTTTGATGGCGGTTCTGTTAGCGGTGGCGTCGGAGGAAAAATGGGAAACGGAAAGGCGAAGGAGGAAACAGCAACGCCAAAACGAAGTCGTTTGGGAGCAGAGTGCAAGGTGCGGAGAAGAACAAGCTCTTCTTGTTCGAAGGTAGTGGCCGAGTGAGAATGGGTACAGTTTTGATTTGGAATATATGCTGAGGGCGTCAGCGGAAGTTTTGGGGAAAGGGAGCTTGGGGGCGACGAACAAGGCGGCGCTGGAGGACGGAAGCTGCGTGGCGGTGATTGGTGAAGCGGCTGAGAAGGCTCCCGTCCGAATGTGGTTCCTCTGAAAGCTTACTGTTATTCCAAAGATGAGAAGCTCTTGGTTTATAATTACTTTCCCGTCGGTAGCTTCTCCTCCCTCTTACAATGTAAGTAGATAATAGATCACTCAGATCTTACTTTCAATTGATAACATTGGGTATTTGCTTTAGCCTCAACCGAATGGAATTAGGGTTGCCAACATATTCTAGAACGTTAATGGAGAAGGAATGAGAAGGCCGCTAGTGTGGGAACCAAGAATGAAGATCGTCATCGGAGCAGCGAGAGGAATCACGCTCATTCATTCCCAATTCGACGGAGCAGCGAGAGTAATCACCCACAATCAGCCCGTCTCTTGTGGCCGCACAATGATTTTTCTTCCTCGCCGGAAAAAGCTAGTGCTCTGTTTCAGCTATTAAATCTTCCCGGCCGCTGTTAATTAATTTTTATAATTTATTTAAATTTTATTAAATGATTAATATGATAATTATATAGACAAAGTAAGTGGGATGATGAGGTGGAAAATTAAATTTTTTTATTTTTTATTTTTTTAAATTTACACGTCATCTAGTTAACGGTCAAATTTTAAAGTTGACTGCCACGTAGGAAAAATTTAACGGAGTGTAACGGCCGGTGACTAACGGTGAAACGATTCGTAAAGTTAGTGGCGAATAAGAAAGAAAAGTAATTCGAATGACAAATGTGAAATATTTGTGTAATTTGAGTGACCAAACGTGTAATTTAGCCTGAAGCAAATAAATTAATTGGCAGTCTGGGATACCAGAGATTTGCCTGAAATGCAAAAGTAGTAATATTTGGTTATTCTCTCTTATGAATTTAAGTATGCAAGACCTCAAAATTGATAGAATGAAATAGGCTGCTGCGATAGGTTTTCAATTCTGGGAGAAGCAGCAGTAGTAGTGGCTGCAGGCGACGTCTTGGTGGGAGCCCAGAGGTCGGCCCCATTGGTGCGATCAATAGCGGCCGTGGCAGCCACGGGTACAAGACGCAGCCCTCTGCTCCGGAGATCATTCATCGACGGCGGTGTTGGGGTGAGGAGATAGGGAGCGCTGAGTACGTTGAGCTGGTCATGAAGGAAAGAAATGTAGTCCATTGCTTCCTGCAGAACAGAGGCAGTATCGGTCTTCCCGTAGGGGGAAACAAGCTGCTGCAGAGCCACGACCTTGTCACCCAGCTGCTTGTCTTTCCTGTCCCTGCCGCTGCTGCAGGGCTTCATTCGCTTGGCTGCCTCGCCGCCGTCGCGGTGGAGGAAGGAGCGTGGGCTCTGGCGTTTGTCTTCCAGCATCTTGGCGATCGAGGAATTGGCAGATTGCACTCTGTGGGTTTTGGGCAAGGGAAGTAGTGAGCACTCAGCCTTCCTAGCCTGATGATTGATGGGATATGACAAATTAGTTAAAAAGAGTAGAAATTAGATAAGACGAGAAATGTCTACTACTTCCTAGCTAGCTAGATCGATCAGCAAAGAAAAAACAGGGGAGGGGGTTTGAGGTTACACAGCAATACGTACCGGCGGATTTAGATTACAGGTAGTGAGAACCGACGATAAGTCGATAACTTGTATAGTTGATTGACGCCTACCTACCAACGGCCATAAATCACGCTAGCAAAATGCGGATCCAAAGACTTGTGTTCTCGATCGTATGGAAAGATTAAGGTAGAAAAGGACGTAAGTTGAGGACCCACGTAGATATGAAAGTCTATTCTTCTAGTATCGAATTCAACGCGCTCCAAGTAGGGTTTGGAAACGGTCCAAACCGAACCGGATTGACCCGGTGTTTTACAATCGTATTGGAGAACTTCACAACCGAAGACGGGACTGGATTGTTACCCATTTAACCATGACTGGACTGGATTGATACGGTTTTAATCGAAAAACTGGATATCTTTCTTCCATCCCAAAACATAGCGGTTTGAATGACAAAAAAATCACCTTATTCGTCTCCTACCAACCACACAATCCCTAATCGATTCAGCAGCCTAGTTATTCTACTAACTTGAAAATTCGTTAGTATATACTAACTAATATTCAAAATGTATGAATTAATATCCAAGTATGCTGAGTATCTAGATAGCACAGACTAGTATTCAAAACATCATAAACTAGTATCCAGATAGTAGATACCAACTAATATCCACAATCAACCAACTAGTATTTAATATGGATACTCTTATGTGTTGTCTAGATACTCTTATGTGTTATCTAGATACTAATTATGTGCGGTATGAATACTATTATGTGTTGTCTAGATATTAGTTTGTGAATTTGATATAATAGTTGATTCATGGTGGATATTAGTTAGCAAATTTTGAATACTAGTCTGTGCTCTCTAGATACTTTAGTACTTGGATACTATTTCATGTATTTTGGATATCAGTTAGTATATGCTAACGAATCTTCAAGTTAGCAGATTAACTTTCCCCCCTACCTTCCCCCAACTTCCATCTACCTTCGTGATTCTTCTTCTCCTTATCCCTCTTCTGGATCAAACCAAATACACACAAGCATCGCCTTCTTCTCCCTCGAGCACTCCTCTGGCTCGATCTGCCTATGAGCTCGATAGAAGTTAGAGGGCGAGAAGAGTTGGAGCTGGAGAAGCGATTGGAGTCGCGCGAGCCGGGAAGGGGAGATCGAGCGAGAAAGGCAGCGTGCAAACTCTGGAGAGGCGATGCATGTCGTCGCCCGTCGCGTGTTGAGCGATCAGATATCCTCGGTCGCCGTCTTCGTCACCATCGCCATCGCTGGAATTTGGAGAGCTTCGTCGCCGTCACCACTCACCATCGCCGCCGCTCGGATTTTCTTCTTCTGATACTCTTGTATGGTGGGTCGGTGATTGGAAACGAGAGAAGCTTGAGGGTTAGAGGGAGTGAGAAGTGAGAATAGAGGAGGCAGCGATTAGGGTTTAGGCCTTTAGGGTGGTGGTGGCTGGGGGCGGAGGCGGGCTTGGGCTGGGCTTGGGACTGGGGGGGCTGGGGTGGGTTGGGGTTAGTTTGTTTATTGTTATCCGGTTTTTCCGGTTTTAACCGGATCGGGCCGGGCTTGTGGGCATTACAACCGCAAACTGGATTGAATTGGTTGAGATCTGGTTTTTGATTGCAACCAACACGGTTTAAACTGGCCGGTTTCTGGTTTAACCGAAAAACTGGGACTGGATTTCCAGCCCTAGCTCCACATATTGTTTTAAGAACCGAACCGGATCAACGGTCGAGCTAGTAAAACCGACAAACCAGTTACGATAGCGATCTGGTTCATTGTTTGGGCGATTATTGATGGACTAAACGACGCGTTTGTGAGGCGTTACCTTTCAATTTCAATATCGAGAAAGTAAGAAAGTATGTTGAGTTTTCTAAAGGGTAAATACAATTTAATATCCAAACCTTTCATTTTAAACAATATAATAGCCAAACCTTTTCAAAAACAATCTAATATCCAAATCGTCAACTTTCCATTCGTTTGACCGTTAGTTGACACTTCAAAAAAGTTCGAAGTACGACGCTTCATCAATATCCATCGATATCTTCTCTGAAAAACCACCAACATATCGTGGTTCCAAACCCGAGAAATCCATGACTCCACCATGATGTTATAGAATATATAAATATTCAGTCATCTGCAATGCCAAAACAAGAAAACAAAGTTGTATTGTGAAAATTTCCCCTAAACAAAGCTTTTTTGAAGTGTCAACCAACGATCAAACGGACGGAAAGTTGACGATTTGAATATTAGATTGTTTTCGAAAAGGTTTGACTATTATATTGTTTAAAATGAAAGGTTTGGATATTAAATTGTATTTGCCCTTTTTTAAACTAAAAAACATCTTTGTAACCCGTTTGTGAGACGTTGAATTCTCTCACTGTCGTCCTTTGTTTTTTCTACCAGTATTGTCGTCCTTTGTTATGATCATATCGTTCACATAAATGAACAATGTTATCATACCTCGACTTGAGTGAAGTGACAATGAGTGATCGTTCAAACCTTTAAATATTATACAAAATAGTCACTACAAGTTTAATTTGTAACGACACGGTTACAGAACTTTGAATTTGTATGAAATGGTCACACTGTTTAATTTGTGGCCACTTTGTTTTATGTATAAACGTATATTACAATATCGTTACAGATTTGTGACTATTTTGTACTAAGTACAAAGATTTGTGACATTTATGCTAATTATCCTCAATCTCCCAGTTTGAAGGAATACCTATATTGCATGATTTTTTTTTCTAATTATAACCAAACAAAAAATTAAAAGCTAAAAGACTTATTTATTCAACACAAATTCTTCATTGTGTAGCTTAATTATTTGTTGACCATCGAAAAGAAAAGAAACGTTGTTGTAAATCAATCATTCGCTTCAAACCTGAAGGGAAAAAGAGATGAACAAGGAGACAAAATAAAAAAGACCCAAGAGAGAAAATTTTGCAAGAAGGGGAAAAGCCAGAAAATCAAACATTTTCCCTGTGTACAAAGGTAGATTCAATTGGCGTATCACAATCATATTCCCTTTGCAGGTTGAGGATCACATTTTGGATTGATCACATGTTGGATTCAGCATACGTTGAATGAACATTACCTATGTGTAACCCCAATCAAAAAAATGTTTGATTGTGGTTACAGATCACGCTTCAAAGTTGGCGGGCATAACGAAAAATTCGTAAGGTACGATGCGATAACTCCTTCCTTCATTACTCATGTCTTCAATGCAGCATTGATCTTGGGGAATGAAAATGCCTTATATCTTTAGCTTTTTCTAACATTTTAGGTTGGACGATTTGGACTCAACAAACTCACCAATGAATTCCAGTGCAATAACAAGGAAAAGGGTTCGTTTCAACCTGAAAGGAGCCCTCTTTGGTGGAAGGAGACCTAAGTATTCATCTAAGTCGCTAAGATTTGGCGTAAAGAGAGGGTCGGAGAACCTGCTAACGATAGGACGATCCCTGAAGAGCAATGTCACGCGTGCCGTGTTCCCCGAAGACCTTAAGGTCTCGGAGAAAATGATTTTTGATCCACAGGACACCTCGTTGCTGTTATGGAACAGGTTGTTTGTGATTTCTTGCATCATCTCGGTGTCGATCGATCCACTCTATTTTTACCTCCCTGTGTTTAACTACACGATGAGTTGCCTTGGGATGGACACGCAGCTAGCGAAAACCATTCTTACTGCGAGGACGGTGCTCGACATCTTCCATTTGCTTCGCATGGCTCTCCAGTTTCGAACTGCGTTTGTTGCGCCGTCGTCCAGGGTTTTTGGGAGAGGTGAACTTGTTATAGATCCTGCACAGATAGCTGCCAGATACCTGCAACGCTACTTCATTGTCGATTTCCTCTCCATTTTGCCCCTCCCCCAGGTACCTGTTGGATGTCTTCGATGCATACATATGATATGAGCCCGTTTTTAATACGCATAAGGATGTGTTTGTTCGTTAGCATAGTAGCATTACCAATATGATCACCTCTCCCAAACACACAAATTACCACACCAAACCGTCCTGAATGATTTCTGTATCGTATCTGTGTATGCAGATTGCAGTATGGCAGTATCTGCACACGAAGAAGAAGGGATCAGAAGTGTTGGCCACGAAACAGGCGCTGCTGTACATAGTGTTTCTTCAATACTTACCAAGGTTTGCCCGCTTCTTCCCTCTCATATCAGACCTGAAAAAGACAGCCGGTGTGTTCGCCGAGAGTGCCTGGGCTGGTGCAGCCTACTACCTTCTATGGTACCTTCTTGCTAGCCATGTAAGCATTTACCATATCCCTCACCTGTTGAGAATGTTCTGTTTCCTTACATTTCAGAAAGAATAACAATTTGGCTGGGGATGGCAGATAGCAGGGGCATTCTGGTACCTGCTTGCAGTGGAGAGAAAGGACACGTGTTGGAGGAAAGCATGCATTGAAAGCGGGAAGTGCAATATAGACTACCTCTACTGTGGGAACAAGGTGCTGCCAGGTTTCCATAAATGGAGAAGAATCAGTGACAAGATGCTAGGGAAATTATGCGGTGTCGTTAACGATAACTCTGAGTTCAACTATGGCATCTACACCCAGGCCATGTCTTCTGACATTGTTGGTTCCAGGGTCTTCGTCTCCAAGTTCTTCTACTGCTTATGGTGGGGTCTCCAGAACTTAAGGTATCAACATTCCATCTCCTGAAAATGGGAAAAAGAAATCGTTATAAAACAGTTGAGGTGGTTGAGATGTTGAATTCATCTGATTAAGATCTCCGAGTTCGAATCAAGTGATCTTCCATGGATACTTCCATTGTTTCCCCTCTGCTTTTCAATAAAATGGATTAATGGCTGGTGTCTATTTCTTTTTTGCTTCATGCAGCACGCTCGGACAGGGTCTGCAAACCAGCACCTATCCTTTGGAGGTTATCTTTTCAATTTCATTAGCCATTTCCGGGCTCATTCTCTTTGCTCTTCTCATTGGAAACATGCAGGTGACAAAAAAATGCTCTATTCCATATCTTGCTTACACTTCAGATTTATCGAAAGTTGCAATAATATTGGAATGTAATGAGTTCTTTATCCAATTTGGTTTGGCAGACTTACCTCCAGTCTTTAACTGTTCGCCTAGAGGAGATGAGGATCAAAAGGCGAGATTCAGAGCAATGGATGCATCACCGGCTGCTACCACAGGACCTGAGAGAAAGGGTGCGAAGGTACGATCAGTATAAATGGCTCGAAACTCGGGGCGTTGATGAAGAAACACTAGTCCAGAGTCTGCCAAAAGATCTTAGACGAGACATAAAGCGCCATCTTTGTTTGAACTTAGTCAGAAGGGTAAAGTAAACTAATTTGTCAGTGTTTTTTTCCAGTCATTGAGTGTGGTTGTTTTGGCTGAAAAATAAGTCATCATCCAACCAAACATGCCTTATTCGCAGGTCCCTCTATTTGCCAATATGGACGAGAGGTTGCTTGACGCCATATGTGAGAGGCTAAAGCCAAGCTTGTACACAGAGCACACTTACATTGTAAGGGAAGGAGACCCAGTCGACGAGATGCTCTTCATCATTCGGGGCAGGCTGGAGAGTGTGACGACAGACGGTGGAAGGAGCGGATTTTTCAATCGAGGGTTGCTGAAAGAAGGCGACTTTTGTGGAGAGGAGCTCCTGACTTGGGCATTAGACCCCAAATCAGCAGGCAACTTGCCTTCATCGACGCGAACAGTAAAAGCACTGACGGAGGTCGAGGCATTCGCACTGGAAGCTGAAGAGCTTAAATTTGTTGCCAGTCAGTTCAGGCGACTTCACAGCAGGCAAGTGCAGCACACATTCCGTTTCTACTCGCAGCAGTGGAGGACGTGGGCAGCTTGCTTTATTCAAGCTGCTTGGAGAAGATACTCGAGGAGGAAAGCTGCAGAGACTAGAAGGCTGGAGGAGGAAGAGGAAGAGAGGGAAATGTATATGAACTATTATGATGATGATTATGAAGATGATGATGATGATGATGACGATGATGATGAGGAGTATGGTGATGAGGTTGCGCTGGTAGGGGCAATGGAACACTCCTCCAGCTTCGGAGCAACAATCCTGGCATCTCGATTTGCAGCGAATGCACTCCGTGGCAGAAAGCTTCGAAGTACATCGTTGATGAATCTGCGAAAGCCCCCTGAACCTGATTTCAGTTCAGATCATTAACTACAGGGATGCCTAATTAGTTTGGTCGGTTAACCAAAAACCAGATAGCCGAACAGTTACGGGAATGGTTAACCACTTAAATAATCAGTTAAGTGGTTTGACTTTCAGTTAAGAAGAACAAACTAAACCAGGTATCCACCCCTGAATTTTGAGTCAAATACAGATGTCCGTTTTTCTTTGCCCTTGTTTTCCTTATGTAAATGGAAATTGTACCAGTTGTGCACTACTACTTGTTTAGAGCAAGTTTGTACGCTGTAATTTTGATTGCCTTCTTTTTTGTAACTAAATACAGTAGTCATGAGAATAAGTCAGATCCACTAACCTGTCTAGGAAGAAATTAATGCTGAACGTCTCTGGAGCATCTTTCTTCAGATCTTTACATTCCAGAATCTCACTCTATCTCTAAAAACAAGTAGAAAGTTTAATTAATAACACACGATAGTAAACCAAGCAGTAGAATCTCTCAGCCCTTCCCTAAGTGAATAGCTGAAAGGAAATTGGTGATTTTATGATCACGCTTCCAACCGTTGCAGAGACTCTTCAGCTAATCGAGGATTAGACTTAAACGGAATCAGAATAGGAAAGACTTACCTTTTTTCCCAACTCTGATATTAGAAGCCTCTTAAGGAAAGCTAAACAAACAGTACTGACCATTACTAGAGTTAAGTTCGGTATGATTGTGCACGAAATGAGAACACAAGAGATAATTGTGTAGCATTTTCTGGAAGTCCAAGCATCCTGTACATTCTCAGGGGAAGATAAGCCCCCTGCTTTTCAGCTTTCATCATAGACAGTTGAGGTGGAGTTGCGGCTCAATGAATGGAAAACAAGTGTTTTAACTCTACACTGAAAATGAATCTCCAACTACCCTTTCGCTTAACCTTGCTTACAGAAAGGGACGTTTTTTGTTTCTTCACAGTCACTGTCGTAGTTGTCCAGTGAATCTCTTATGCTGGCTAGCTGCTAATCAAGTTCGCCATTCTGAAGAGGCTTCCAAATCAACATCTTCTTCCCACCAAGTTGCAGCCTGCAAATAACAGTCATTAAGGTAAACCAAAATCAAAATGAAAGAAAACAGACAGTTGGTTTGCTTCATAACTTTTGGAAGGGCCATGGAGCAAGCATGTGAGGCCTATATCTGAAATATATGAATGTGTAGATGCTCCTCATAAACAAAAAAAAAATGCAACTTTCTGCTTCTGAGTCTAAGAATGGACGAGCTAGAAGGAGGGAGAAAGTCTCAGATCAAACTACTAACAGTGAACGTTTCTACCGTGCAATGTGTCATTCCAGTACCATTACAAATGTTCCCAGAGAAACAACTCATTTCCCATCCAGAGGCAACACTAAAGTAAAATAAAGTGTCTTGCAACCAAGCTTGATCCTTTAGTTACCTTATAGCCTCTGCGAAGAAATTGCAATTGGCTTCCCTGCTCCTCTTGAAGCCCTAGAACCCTCAACAGTTCTTCTTTTGTCTGGATTGAATAGTCCAAAAACACATTATACATAGTGCAATGCTCCAACTGAAGCTTTTACAGTTAAAGAGAATGTATACCTCCCCAAGTGTGAAGCGTGTACTACTCTCTGCTACACAAGCATAAGAACCATCTCCCTGTTTAAGCATAACCTGCCATGGCCCTAAAGACACCATCAGTTAGATGAAAGCAACGGAATGAGAGGATGAAAAGGTAACATTTCTGTGACTTAGGCAGGTAAACCACAATATGCAAGGGCCATAGTGCAAGTTCAATAACAATTGAGTGGCTGCAGGATTTCTGGGAAACCCAAGGAACTCCTTAATTGTGTCATTCTCTCCAGCTAATACAAGAAGAAAACCAAGTCACTTTGAAATAAGCTGGAATAAGCATCAACAAATAACATGACCAGACAATCCACTGATTCAAATAAAGCTAAATAATCCATCCTCATTTGTCATTGAATATCTTTTGGTAGAATGTAAACTACCAAGCATAGAAAAATCTCAATTACTCATTGTGAAAACAGACAGCCTTCATTCAGGTACAAACAATCAAAAGGGTATTGCAGAGCCAGAATATGAAAATAACAAAGATGCAGGGTAAGACGGGTTATTAAAACTAAATAAACTACTTTCCGTACCAGGGTATTGGCGGAAGAGAGCGCCACTGTAGTTGACAATGTACGGTGCTACTGCTACTGTCTTAGATGAGTAACAACATCAGGTTATTCACAGTTCAAATCATAAAACAATAAGTTAATGAAGAAATCATTACCTTTGAGTAATCTCTAGTTCGAATATAGAAGACTGGGACAAATTGAGATAGAAAACGATAATGCAAATCTTTTGTTGGAAACCCCAGGAGACCCAAGTCAGCACTGTAAAGAGTGAAGCTTTTAGTCACTTAACAAAGTAGATAGAACCACTAGCGGAATAACATAGGATAACACATAACTAGGAAAGGTAAAAGCTATATACCGTAATGTATCAAGTTCGAGATTAAACAAAACTGTTGGTGTCGCAGCAGCAAATTTCTCCTGCATGTTCCAATCAGCCATTACCATTTGCAACTTGTGAACGTGTAGGGAAGCTAATATGTATTAAGGATACGATGGGGACTGCACTATATATCATAATAGATGATTCAGTTCTTAAAGACCATAAGCCATGATTTGGAACTGCCACAAGAGAAGAAAGGAGATGCAAAAGGTACCCCCAAGAAAGGGGGTTTGGAACAAGGTACGAAAAGAAGCTACAGGAAATGACTTACCACATACTTCTCTATGGAAGATAATTCACGTGTGCTACAGTTAAGAAACAGAAAAATCGAAGGTGCCTCATTTGACTCCCAGCGACCTGAAATAGGCAAGAATGAGGGAAAGGGCATGCACCAACTCAAAGCGTAAATCAAATCGTTTGTAGAGGAAACAGCTCCAACTAAATAATTCAAGCAGGAAACAATTAGCAACATATGAACTAATCTATTTAGTGCTTTACATTTCAGAACTAACCTTCATTATCATCTTCAAAATCAAAATCTAAGGTGCTTCTGATAGACTTAAAAAAAGTGTTGACGGGACCACTCGGGAGATCATCAAGTGAACCAACAGTTATACCTTCAATCTGCAAGCAGATTCAACATGTAAATGGTACAAAATAATTATTGCAAATAAACAGTTTGATAATTTCTGAATAACTTCCAAGGAATGGCCACTGAGAGAGTAAAAAGGTACAGCCGGAAGTTTCACCAGGGGATGAGGTAGTTTTAAACTCCCAACATGGAAATAAATAAGACAAGGCAGTAACTCAATTTCAGAACTGTTAAACTTGTTCTAGAGATTCCCAACAAACAATGTTTGATTCCCTACCAACAGTGACACAAACAATTATGTGCTGCATAATTTGTACAGTCCAACAGGCGGAAGACTTTCTCCCTGATTGCAGCCGACATCAAGAACCAACGTTGACTAATATCCAACGGTATGGAGATTCAAGAAAATAACTTCACAATAATGTCACAGAATGCATTACTGTACCGAGTCGATAGCCGTTCGGAAAAGCTGAGATGCCCTGCGTTTTTCTGGCTTGTCAGGGAACACCTGACATTCAGAATCAGAAGTAAAAGGCTGTTTTCTAACTGAGAAAATATGAACTAACATTGGGTATGAAGGTTTTATTCTTACAACGCAAACTCTCATTTCCACCTTCTCTTTGAGCTTCTTGATGACAGTCAATGCAAGTTGGATATTGGCATCGATGAAATCATCTGAGGATCCCTTCACATGTTCAGGTACTCAACATCAAAAAAATTGTTTTCTTTCTCTTCCCCCTGGTTCTCACTTAGGATTATTGGGGTATCAATGTTGCACATGGTACAAACAGCAAACAGTTACAGTGCATGGAAATCACACAAATGGTTAAGCATCATGAAGAATTAAGGATAGTTGAAGGGACTCTTTAAATGCATAAAAAGGTACCTTGTATGAAGAAATGTTGCTAGGCAAGGGCCTGAAATGCAGGCAAAATGGACAAAATACCATAACAATGAGTTTTCAAGCAGAGAACCCTATTATTAGCTATTAAAAGAGACGAGATGAACACGAAATCGGACTTACGGGAACTCAATTTCCAATCTCTTCTTGCCGTCCTGAATTGCGAATGCCAGAGAATTGGCGGCATCCGTGAGTAGAACCTCGTAGGACTTTGGTTTGTAGACGGCAACGCCGCGCTTGGGATCGTAACCGCTACTCTGAGCAGCAGCAGAAGCTTGAGCTTCGCTATACCGCCGTCGGTCCAGCCAGCTGACCCGTCCCCCTCCGCTTCGCTTTCGCACCAGCGCGGCTGGGATCGAAGGAGCGCGACTCGGGAGTTTGAATTGGAAGATAGAGAGGTTGGATCGAGACGACGAGATTGAGTGGAGCGAGGACGCCATGTTTAGAAGCGCCATTGCCGCTTCAGTGAGCTAGTCTGGTTTCGTATCGAGTCAGTGGCGCGGTGGTGATCCTATGTGGATTAGATATCGTTGGCATTCTCAAGTTGGTTGTGATTTGTGAATTTTACGATATTGGTCAGTCAATTTAACATTCATTTTATATTTTACTAGATAAATTGTCAGCCATCTTGAACACCGCAGTTAGCAGTGAACATATAATTAATTTGCATTAGAGACTAGGGTTGGTTGGTTTGGTTTTGGTGATAGTTAAATCTATGTAATGTTGTTGATACATGCATAATAATATACATGTATATAAGAAAATTGGTGTATTGTAGTTTACATTGTTTGGTTTCTGTGATAGTTATTGTAGTGTTTAAATAAATTATATTACTTTATGGGTGAAATGTCATTTGTACCCTTTGTTTTTAGTATAAAAAACAACACATAGAAAAAGGTAGGGACATAGTTGGTAGAAGAAAAAAACACAACAATCTCAATCAAACAATCTCAACCAAAACTTGAGATTTTAGGGGTCGTTTGGAAGTTGTGTATGTTAAATCGTTCTATTGTTATGAATCACTATGATATAAATGCATGCATTGATACAATAGATACATTTTGAAATTACATTGTTTGGTTGTTGAGATTATAATTTATGAATTGATTGTTATAAAGTTACTTTATAATGAAATGTCATATCTGTCCTCCACTTTTAATATAAAACAAAAAAAAACTATGGACATAATTAGAAAAAGTGAAGGTGCTCAATTATTAAACCAACAATCACAACTTTTAGTTGAGATTGTACAATTCCTCATTTTTGTTGATTGTTAGTGGGACTCACACAAAACAATACATGCATTGTTTTGCAACTTGACACTTCTAAACGTTGTATTGTGGACAATGCATGTATTTAACAAATACAACACTAAGGGGTTGTTTGGAAGTTGTGATTGTTAAATGGATAATTTATCTCCCCTCTCCACATTTGGCTCCAACAATCGCGACGGCTGCATGGGGAGTCCCTTCTTCTTCCATTCATTGTCGAGTTGTGCTTAAATCCGTCTGCCGCTAAGGTCACGCTTGACTCCTTCCGTCGCCGAGTCGCCCTATCTCACCGAGAAGCTTCCACTCCTCGTCGTTTGGAACTTTACATGTGGTTGCCGCGCCCTTCTGAAATCAAGCATCCCTTCTTCTTCGACAACAAAAGCAACCCAGGACAAAGAATGGTTATGGAGATTAACAATGGCAGAGGAAGGTCACAGGCGCCACTGCCCGACCGCAAACAGTAGGGGCAGATCCGGAAATTGTAAGGAGGAGCGGCGACCGTGAAAAGATCGAAGACGCGTGGAGAAGAATCTTGTTGTGGCGGAAGGAGGAGCGTCGATCGTTGGAGAGTAGGGCTGTAGACTTGTTGTTGTGGGGATAAAGAGCTTTTTGAGATGTATGGGTTGGTGTGTGTAATGTGATTCAGGAGAGGTCTGGTTTGGTGGGTTTAATGTGCTTCGAGAGTAGGTTGTGGGGGATTGGGCTGTGAGACTGGAGAGTAATGGGCTTAACAGGGTGGGTAGCAGAATTTTGTGTTTTTGGTTCAGAATTCGCGTATGGTCATGACAATCCTGGTTTCCGAAACATTCATATTTGCCTTCCGAATTTCGAACCGTATAACAATAATTTGGTTTCAGTTTGATTCAATCAGTTTCAGGTCGTTTTTATGTTCGGGAAGACCGAACCGCATGCCCACCTATACCAAGATCCCCGTCGGTGGAAATTTAACTGTCATCGTCAAGCACCAAACAGGTACGAAGTGCATGCTACAGACTCTCACCTCCTTGGCGCCAATTGTTCTTTAGAAAAAAAAAAAAAAACTATCAAATGAAGTATATAAAATTGGATTGGGTACGAATATTATTTATTTATTCACTCATTTAAAACAAGTATTGTATCTCTCCCCCAACAGTATGGTAACGTCGTTGAGCCTCACTACGAAGGAATGGCCGGTGGCTTTGTCAATAGTGATGGCAATTTGAACTCATACCGCAGGTATTATCCGACCTGGCCCACGATGTGATGGTATCCCGACCCGCCCTGTCTCGCCTCGTCCTATTCTTGGCCCTTTCTATCTCAATTTCTTACAGTATCTATACATATTTCTCCTATTTTGACTTTTTTCAATTAGTTAGAGTCGATCTTTCAACTTGTTAGACTCAATTACCCATTCTATATCACTATTTTTCATTCATATAGTGTTTTCCACTTCATTTTATCTTAATAAGTAAAATTTGCATGTATTTTTTTCAAATAACATGTAAGAGCAGGTCAACCCATCCCGCCCCCATTGTCATCACTATCTGTGGGATGGGCGATTAGGCCATGGCCATCTCATCAGGTGGGCTGTAATGTTAAAGTGATCAATTAAGGGAGGAGAAAGGGTGTAGTGCACCATACTAACACTTTCATTTAAAGTAGGCAAAATACACCTTTATAGCCATAACTTTCACACTTTTTGACAAATATAGCCATTTCTATTCGAAAACCACAAATAGCCAATTCCGTCCATTTTGGTAACGGTGTTAGTAGATGTTATGATTGTACTAACGGCTTGCGCTGAGTTGGCCATTGAGTTAACCCACCTTCCGACGTGGAAATGAAAAAAAAACAAAAAAAAAGTTTTAACGAAAAAGAATAAATTAACACAAAATCCCCAATATAACCACATGAAATCCCTAAAATCTATTTTCTCCATTGTTGTTCTCCGAAACTTCCCTAAAATCTATCCCTAGAAATCAACACTTCAATCGACACCCTCTATGATGGTTGGATCCCTCGAGGCCAAGAAGCACCTCAAGCCGCCACCGTAACCCATCGCCACCTGTTCGGCCCAAATCAGGTCGAGGCGATCGGGCTCTGCCTCAGAGACCTCGACCCGCCGAATTGCCGATCCTGCATCAAACTCTCCGAATCATAAGGAAGCAATCACGTCCTCCCTTCCATTACCACCTCCACCGCCCATCTTCCTCCTATCATACCTCTTCCCAAAATCAAACTCCACCCTAACTTCTCAATGCTCTCCTCTCTCCCTTTCTTGCGTAGCCTTCCCCCATTTATTCAAGATTTTGTCACTAACCCTACCCTGAATCGGAGAGATCTAGAAATCTGTAAAAAAATTTGTAGATTTTGGCCGCCGCCGGAGGTGGTGGTGGTGGGGTAGTCGCTGCCGGTCGCCGCCCATCTCTCCTACTTCCATTCCCTTCACGATGTCGGCGCGCGATATGGGGAAATGAAGTTGTTTGGGTCTTCAGGTTTTCGATTGGGGGGAATGAAGCAGCAAGGCAGCGATAGGAGCTTGTTGCGGCTATCCTTTCGTCGCTGTCGTCGCCGCTTCTTTAGATCCGCCGGCTGGAAGGCTCTGTTCGTTGCAAAACCAGAAGGCGGGTTGAGTAGACGCGACGACTGTGGATGACTGGGCGCGATGCAGCAGCGAGGCGACGGGTTGCTGGTCATCGAGGTGATGGCGGTGGAGGATCTATGCAGAACGACGTCGATTCAGATCTGCCAGCTCCGGCTCCTCTAGTCGTAAGATGGAAAAGGAAAGTGACGATATTGAAGCGGTGGGATTTGCGATCTGGAAATTTGTAAGAGATTAATGATTTTGTAATAGGGGAAAAGACGAGTGTATGATTTTGCTCTATGTCTTGTTGCGATTTGAAATTTTGGGAAGGAAGATGCGAATGGGAAATCTAAGAAGTTAGGGGATGGTTTGGTTGCATTTAGGGAAGAAAATGGTTTTTGCGGAAAAGGGAAGAAAATGATTTTTAAATTAGTTATTTAATTTATTAAATAATTTATTTTTAAATTAAAATATGACATGGCACTTACGTGGCAAGTGTGGTTGAGTTGTCGATGATGTGTGCGATGATTTGGCATCCTAGTCAGCCTAACGTTAACCTAACTGACGGAGTTTCTAACACCGTTAAAGTTTCTAACTGAAATGGCTAGATTTGTCACACGACCATCCATTTTTTTGTTTATTTGTGGTTTTCGAATAGAAATGGCTATATTTGTCAAAAGTGTGAAAGTTATGGCTATACAGATGTATTTTGCCTTTAAAGTACTATAGTAATTATGATTCCTTCTCCCCTTCCTCTTCCCTTCCCCCTCCTTCCTAGTCCCCCCTTCTTCTACATTGGTTGTAAGACCACCCACTATTAGGGGTAGGCATTCGGTCGGTTCGGTTCAAACCGAACAGATGACTTCCGGGTCGCCGAATTAGGGCATGAGACAAACCGAATTCGAACTGAAATATATATTGGTTCGATTCGGTTTTATTACCCTATCCGAAGTTTCGTAAACCCTCTCCCCCACTTACCCTCTCTCTTCCACTTACCCTATCTCCCCACCCCATTCACCATTTCCAGAACAAATTCTTTCTTCTTCTCTCTCTTTCTTCTTCTCCCTCTCCCCTACAACACAAAAGCGACGACAATTTCTCCTCCCGTTGCTGGACTCGGCGACGATTTATCCTCCCATTGCTGGACTCGGCGGCGGCAATTTCACCTCCCGTTGTAGGACTCGGAGGCAACAATGATCGATGGAGAGAACAATCAGGTGTAGGCAGCGATTGAGATTGACGGAGAGAACAACCCAACGACGGCGACGACTGAATGTTAGAGGTTAGCATGGGTTTAGATCTAAGCATGCATGGTGATTTTGGCTTGATTTTCTCCATCTAGCTTCAGTAGCTTTGTCTCTATTTTGATCCAGGAGGAAAAGAAAGCTTCGTCTCGCGTCGACGGTAGTCCCTCCGTCGCTCAGGCCGCCGTTGGATTTGATGGGAGCGAGAGGTGGTGAAGCGAAGTCGGCAGTGAGATGGGATTGAAGGGGATGTAGGTCGGAGGTTGTGGTGTTGGAGGTTGACGGAGCGAGATGAGAGATGGGAAGGGTGTTTTGATTAAAGGTTGGTTGGCTCTTGGCTGGCAGCGGCGGTTCAGGGAAAGGAAAGAGTCGAGATG